ATTTTCCAACATTTTAATGTGCGTCATAATCGGCTCGCACTAGCTGAAGGCTAAGAAATTTAGAAACTAAAACACGTACAATTATAATGCAGGCTCAAATGAAATTAAAATTCACCTGGATCAACTCTACTTCTTCAAATTAAAATAACAGCTGTGATACTTCATATAATATATATATAACAAAGGCACATCAATTGCTAAACTCATTCATTTCGAGTATACACAGGCATTAAAAAAAATTTCAACTGCCAAATTAAGTTTTAAAAAATGGGGTGCGTATTTCATTCAAGGATATTTTTTACCATTTTAGCTAGTGGTGCATCTTACGTAAAGCTACAATGCACTTGAGTATGATACTAAATGTGTCCATTGCGTCAATGAGGGGAGATTTTATCATTGAACAGAGGGTGGTTATAGTTCAATATCCAACAGTGTCAGGGTACGACACGAACTGATGACAGAAGCCTTTAATCCACTAATTACTTTTAAGTTAATTAACGGATTCTCGAAGTTAATGTACAGGCTACGGTAAATATTTCGTTGAGCTTTTCTCTGTCAAACTCATACTGCAGTACTGTATTAGTTCGTATCATATCCTGGAACTGTTGGAGCTTAAACTACCTCTGTTCATCGGTTTAATCTCCACTTGAATTATGGTTCCATGTGACCGTGATATCATTCAAATTACTATACACGTCATTTCGATCAACTTCCAGGCATTAAAAATGAATCATCTCTTCGAAGCTGAGCTCACAATTATGCATCCTCATGAAGAAGCGTCGAAATAAATACAGTACTGTATATGTTTTACTTTTTTTATTCAAGCTTAGGTAACTACAGTAGCTTCATCATTTGCTGTAAACCGTTTTATCTTACAGAATGTTTGCTCACTGACTGCGACACGCTAACATACTGTCCACTTCAAGATGTTCATATATTGTTGGATGTGGTTGGGGGATAGATTCGCAATCTGTTTGAATCCTTAGAATTCCCTCACTCTTGTATTACTTGGTTCATTCTCTGAATTGACGATCAGCCGCGTAAACAACAGTAGCCTTTTCTTGATCTTGGGAACAGAAATGCACATACCGTTGTCGCAGCATTCTTCGTGACCTGCGAGTCAGCCATTGTCTCCGTGTTGGAGGACCTAGAGCAGTTGCGTGGACGGGGCGACACGCCGCAAGCGCACAAGCAAGCAGCCAACGCGGCCGCCTCTTGGCGTCCCTCCGCAGCCGTCACGCAATCGCAGCATTCTTGCTTTTCTTCCAGCCGTCGACGCTTTTCTGGAGTCACGTCCTCTTTGGCTTGCATCTTCGACTCTGTTTTCGAGCATTCGTTTTTCGAATTGGATCTGCGTTAACGAACATGAAACATAAGTTGCCTAGAATATTTACAAAATGCCGTGAAATATGTATTGTATATACGTTGTGCTGTATACTAGGCTCTCAGAGGCAAGTAATAATCGAGCCCAGCAACTCGAAAAAAGTAGTTCTCGCTTCCTTCGGTTTCACATTCAAATCTTTTTTTCTGGACCTGGTGCATCAGTAACTGGTTTTAAAGAAACCACTTCTGTTTTTAGCGAACGATTCGTCAAACTTGATCTCGATAGCTGCAGCAGTTAAAAAAAAATTTACGCAATGTTCTCAAAACCTTGAAATTAATCGAAGATTTAAAAATGAACCAAGAACTACACATAAAATTTTAATCGGAACGATTCCTGCACTGGACGAGTCAATAGCACTTGAACTCAGAAAAACTTCGCTCTCTTTCCCGGTTCCATCCGAACGAATCAGCTTGACACTTCAAGTGTAATTAAGTAAAATTAATTTCGAGAATCGTAATAAAGGAGATCAAAAATATTAAAGTGATCTCCGTGAGTCCAGGGAGCCAAAATATTTTCGTATCAAGCAGGCAGCTTTCAGAAATACAATCATACACAGCACATGAAAGGATTGGATGTGTGCAATGTTTCTCTTTTGCGAGTATTCTCAATTTACTGACGATTGAAAAACTTTCCTTTTCGTTCATTTAAAGTAAAATCGACTTACCTGTATCCAGATTGAGTTCCAGATTGGGTTCCCGACTTTTGCGTGTTGCTGCTCTCAGTCGAAGCGGAGCAGAATGACACATTCTCCAATCCGCAAGGGGACAGGTAGCCGCCTGACGGTCTACCAGAACTTGCAGGCACTCTGATCACGGCCCCATCATTGTTCCTGATGATGAAAGTGCGTGATAAAATTTGTTTAATTTTAATTTCAGGAAACCAATGAATCTGAAGGAGACGCCAAACGCAAGATTCTCCCCACCTACAATACATTTACCGCACGTTCAAGTCGGAGTTTTATATGATCCATACAAGTAAATACGATACATTTTGAGGATTTCATCAACCAAGCCAAGAATAAGGATGTCACACTTCTGTGTACAACAGCGTCAATTATATGCATCAGAA